TGCTGCAAAACCGCGGGGTCAGTGGCGCACGCGGGCGCCCGGCGTGGCCCAGCGGGCGCGGGGCACCCCGCGATCCAGCAGAGGAAGCGGGGGGCGCGGCTCTCTTCCGGCTGCTTGCTCGTTAAGTAATCGTCGAGTCCCAGGAAAATATGGGAAAATATGGGAAGTGGGGGGGAAAAACCCAGAAAATATGAGAAAATATGGGGAATATTTTTATTTGTGTGTATTTCTTTGTGTGTCTTGGGGCCCCTTCAAGAGAAGCGGGGGGCGCGGCTTTCTTCCGGCTGCTCGGCATCCGGTATCCTCTTTGGCACGGGCTCGGCGTCACCCCAGCATACCGTCGGGGCCCTGAAGAAGGAACCCTTCTCGTTGGGGAGGGGCTCCGTGTTCCTCAAGTGTTTCGCAGCTTTCCTCAGGTGTTCCTCATGTTCTCGACGGGAAATCGAAGTTGAACTTATGGAAAAAAGGGGCCTCGTTCCTTATTTAGGGTTCCCTAGGTCAACGCCCCGACTGTGCTTATCCTGTATGCGCGTCGCCCCCCTAGGGGCGACGCGCGCACCGAGAAGTCTCATAGCATGTGCGTCGTGGCGGGCGCTTTCTGGCCGCGCCGCTCGAGAAACGATGTGCTACAAGATGGATGTACTATATGTTGGGGTCGGACGCGCGCCTCCAAGGATAGGGTAACAAAAAGTGACATAAACATAAAAACTCGGAGGTCCGCGCGGATTACTCGGATCGGCGCTGGACCCCCCTCTCTGGCGCGCGGAGCGCGCCAGGGGCGGCGCCGGAAGCGCCGCTGGGGGGCCCCAGCGCCGATCCGAGTAATCCGCGCGGAGCTCCGAGTTTTTAATGTGTATGTCACCTCTTGTTCCCCCAAAGGGAGGACGTCTAGCATCAGGATCTCTCTGTGCACCCCCCAGAACACAGTGACCGGTAGGAGAACTTCATGATAAGGGTAATCGTGCGCCTCGCGCTTCCAGGCCGAAGTCTCGAGTCCACGACGCCCCTTGGCGTCGCGTTGATGCCGCCCCGATTTGCCAGACCGCATTTGCACAGATCGTCATAATATGTGTTTCAACGTATGTTTTATGACCCTCTCTCTAGTAACAGACCCACGTTGGAATTCAAGCTCCGGGCATCTGCCTGCACGCCGTGGCGCAACGGTCCCTCCGCGGGGCGTCGCTGCAGCAGGGGAGGTCGCCGCGGCCCGCGGCCTGCGGCCGGGCTCGGGCCCGCGGGGCCTGCACGCGCGCGCCAAGGGGCCGCGGGGTGCTGCTGGCCGACGCGCGCGCTGCTTCCCGCTACGGATCTCATGTCGGGCCTGTCCCTCTACAGGGGGATCTTCCAAAATAGTCAGAAGATAGTCTGCGGACGATTTTTCTATCATTTTTTGACCATGTGAGGGTTTTTGTGGTGTACTTGTCATTTTTCGCCCAACGTGGTCCTGTAGGGGGACAGGCCCGACCTAGTACTAATATTACGATGATCGCGACTCTGCGGGGGAAGTCCTGCCAAGCGCAGGCAGCAGCGGCAGAGGGCCTCCCGCCAACGTTGCGCACAGAGCCCTGGACATGAAGCGGATCGCGTGGCCGCTCCCGCCGAAGCTGCGTGGCACCTTCGTGAGCACCCTGCTCGGATACGCGTGTCCTGGGCTAGATGATGACGGGCACGTCAACAGGAATATGTATGACGCCGCAGTGCACTTCAAAAGCAGGAAGGCCCCAGACTCGTGGAATTTCCCAGTCTCAGAGGACGGTAAGCAGGCTTTGGACTTTCCTTGTTCCCACAAGCCCATAACGTGGAGTAAGTTTCCCTGCAATAGCTGGGATTGGTCGAAGGGCAATTTCATTATGATCGTGCGCGATCCTGAACAGCGAATCTTGAGTGGTTACCCCAGCAGGCATGGCGTGGGTGCTAACATGTCGATTCTGTCGGAACTCAGATACGCCAAGACCGTGCAGGGCTGCATGGTACGGATGCTGCTGGGTTGGATGTGATATGATATAATGACATTGAATATAAACTCCGTGACCGATGAGCAACTAAGCATGGCAATCAAACATTTGGGCGAATAGTATGCTTTTGTTGGGATTCTTGAGGAGATCGAGATGTGCATTTGTCTGTTCCACGCGATGCTCGGAGGCGTCTGTCGCAGCGCCGAGTTCGTAAACATCCGGCCAGCGTGTGTGGGGGCTTCGGTCCATCACGATTATTCTGTCTTGAATGGATGGCTCGACAAGATCGATCGTCCTCTGTACGACCATGCAGTCAATGTTGTGCATGCCCGGACGGAGAGGTGCGGAGTCAGCAGGGACACGTGCAGCCCCAGGGTCTGGCCCTGCTGCCCTCCCGTCTGTCGGCGCGCCGGCCAGGAGTCTGCAGAAGGAGCCGTGGTGCATCCGGCAAGAAATCAGTGAGCACGGGAGGTCTTTGCAGATGCGTCGTCGAGTTGTCTGGCGCAGTGCGCTGGGCTCCGCAAAAAAAATCTTCGCGTTATACACTCACCGCGATGTGAAAATCACGCCATGCACTGGCGGTTTCGGAAAGCAACCGAATGAGCCGCGCTATTCGTGAACTCTGCGAACAAATTGTTGATTGAGTCCTGTGCGTTCCGACACGGGTCCGCGAATTGCTGATTGTTTGCTTGGAGGCAGGTGCAGAAAACACGCCTCGCACAGGCGGTCCAGAAAAAAAACGGACGAACCGTTTCGACCGCGAATTCTCCGCAGGCTTCGTTTCGCGAGTGTACTACGTGAGTACATAATTCAAATGCACCACGTACATACACGACGTAATTGCACTACGTGAAAAACACTACGAGCTTACGGCGGCAGCATTGGTTCAGGAATGTGCCTGGGAGGCTCCAGACCCTGGAGGATCCCTGGTCTGATGCGGGCGGCGGCGCTATCCATGGCCAAGCCTCGATTGGAGTTCCACTGGCCTCCAGACCCTGGATTCCTTATCTGCGCGACGGCAGCTGCGGTGCTGGGGGCTTCCGCCGCGGCGGCGGCCCCGGGTGCGGCCGAGCGCGGCGGCAGTCCTCCCGTTCGGCAGCGGCCCGCGGCGGCGGCGGCGGCGAGCTCCCGCGGGCAGGGCAGGGCCAGCGGGTCGGGCGACGCCACGGCAGCTGCCGACCAGGCGTGTGGCGCGTCGGACCCGGGCCCCGCCGGCGGCGAGCAGCGGCGTGGCCCACGGTGGTCCGCCTCCGTCTGGGGCCCCAGCCCTGGCAGGTCCGTGGGCACCAGCGGATGATGGGGCGCGCGGCGGGTGAGGCTGAGGAGTTCCTGGCCTGCACCACGTGCTTCATGTACGCTCGGACGCCCAAGGTGTGCTGGCGTGGGCTCCGCGACGAGTGTGCGGGCGCCGCCGCCAGTCGAGCCCGCCAAGGGTCGAGGTTGCAGGCACGCAGCGACCTTGAGCGAGGGTTCCTGCCAGACCCCCGGCCGAAGAAGGCCTTCGGAGCAGTGTCGGCGCCGACGGCCGGGGTGCGGCGGCGCCGTGCGGAGAAGCTGGGGCTGGAGGCAGACAGCGACCAGGTGGTGCGCAAGGCCCCAAGCGCCCGCTCGGAGCCGCAGGCCTTGGAGCATGCGCGGCCTGGCAGGCGCCATCGAGGACGTCCGCGGCGGCATCCGGCGGGGGCTCGGGCTCTGGCGCCGCCGACGGCGTCCTCATCCTGCCGCCTGTCGAGGCGGCGGCAGCAGCCCACGGCTTTGCCTCGGCCGCCGAGGCGCGGGCCCGCGGGGCGGCGGCGCGCCTGTCCACAGCGGCCTCAGTGGCTGCCTTGCGCGTGTAGCGCTGAACTGCATGATTTGTTTTTGGCACTTCCTGTTTGCCCTCGAAGACTTCAGAAAAATGCCCTCACACCGTATTCTACGTAAATACGCAAGCACACTGCGACGGCACACCGCACAAAGGGCACAACATAAACACACTACATGACTACAAAACACCACGTAAGTACACTACGCAGGTACCGCATGTCGTACATACATTACGTATATAAAACACGGGAACACATGGCCTAAATCAAATACACTACATACATGCACGACGTACATCCACTACATTTAACATGTACGTCCTTTTCTTACGCAGTGACCTTACGTAGTGTCCCTTTTCACCCTTGGGATCAAGTCTCGGTAGAGAGATTCGGCTGTCGGCTTTCCTTCTCTCCCACTTCCTCCACCTCCTCCTCGTCCTCCTCGTCCTTCTCCTCCGCCTCCTCCTTCTCCCAGCCCTCCCCTTCGCGCCTCGCCTTCATCCCCTTTCCCCATGAGGGGGCGGGGGCGGGGGGGGGGGTCGCGAATATCACTACCCCCGTCGCGCCGCTGCCGCCCGACAGGATCAATGTCGACCCGATTCGGATATCGATTTCGGCCGGCCCTACCCGACTCGATTCCGACATCCCCGCGGCCCGCTGTTTGTTCGGCGCTGATGTGCATTCTAGCGCGTCGGGCCCGATTCGGATTCCGCCTCCGTGCCCGCGCTAGTGCGGTCCGAGCCGACGCACATGCTCCAATCTGCAGAATGGTTGTTTCATGCATTTGCTCGTCTATCGCCACGATTTGTTTGGGGGGACTTGGAGTCATGGCCGGGATTCAAAACTTGTAGCGTTCAAAGTCTGATAGCGGGCAGTCCAAAGGACGTTTGAATGAATGCTTGGGGAGCTTGAGAAAGCAGCTTCGCAGAAACTTCGGAAGCGCTTCGAAGAAGCTGCGGAAAGGTTTCCAGCACGCGTATTGGGATCGAGTGGGACAGCGCTTGCCGTGGCACGCTGCAGCCTCACAGGAGGCGTTGCGAGGTGATCTGCCCAGCGCCCGAAAGAGCCTGCTCCCGATTCAAATCCGGCGCCCCGATTCGTTGCTGGCCTCGGGCGTCACGTCATGGGGGGGGGGACCAATACATGGGTGGGGGGGGAAGAACAGTCGACCGTCTGTGCCCTGCGGGGGCCCTAGAGGGGCCCCCTGCGGCCCAAAAGGGGCACGAAAGGTGCATGCTGCTCCCCCGCCATGATGCAACGCCCGACGGCCGCGGCCGACTGGCTCAGGTCGCGGCGCCCGACGCGCCGCAGCCGCCCGACGCGGGCCTCGACGACCTCGGCTGCCAGGCCGCGCCGCCAGACGCACCGCTGTCACCTGCCATGGGCGGCGGGCCGGTGCCCAAGGACGGGGGCGGCGGGGGCCGCGGGTGGGGCATTCCCTGCGCGTACCTGTCATGATGCGCCAGCTTTGCAGCGCAACACGTAAATGCCGTGGCCTAAACGTCCGTGCTAAAAAGCACATGGCGTGTTGGCTCGGCACGTGTTGGTCCACGTTTTGGCGAACACATCGCGCCAGAAATACGTTCTCAAGCTACGCGTGGAGGTCCGTGTGAGCACGCTGCGAGCTGCGTGTTGCGCATCTGGGCAGCTATTTCCTTGCGAGATCTGGGCGCTCTGCAATTTTGTCCACACCGGGCGTTTTCTCCCGGCTCTGGGCCCCAGGGACCGTCACGGATCGTCGGCTTTTGGCCCCAGGATCCGCCACGTGCCGCTGAGAGATGGGGCCGGAAGCTCCAGTCATGATTTTTCGCGATGCCGCATGTTGTTCGCAACGTGGGCTGCCGAGAAGCCCCCGGCCATCTCCGAAGCCCCCCGGCCTTCTCCCAGGGCCGCCCCCCTCGCTCCACCGCCTCGCGCGCGCCGTCGAGGTGGGCTCTCGGGGGGCACACGTCGCGGTCCGCGCGGCGGCACCTGTGCACACCGCCACCGTGCCTCGCCAGGGCCGTCCCTGGGCCCTGCGATGCTGCAGCGCTGGAAGGGGACGGGCTCCCAGGGGGGAACGGCATCGACCCCCCCCCTTCGCTGACCCATCCGGGGGTCCGACAGCCCACCCCGCCGAGGAACACGCGGTTTTTCGCTATAGGGGGCCCATCACCGATCCATCGGCGATGCATCGACGATCCGAGCTCGATGGTTCCCCCCCTGAGCCGGCCCCCTCCCCGTGCCCTTCCCCTTCAGGAGGGCGTGCGCAGCATGCCAGGACCCGGGCCCGAGCTGGCCCCTGCCAGGGCACGGTGGTGTTGGCAGGCGCCTTCTGCGCATCCACTGGGGCAGCAGCTCGGGGGAAGTCGGCCTCGCCCCAGTCACGGCTGGCCCCCCTCCCCGGGTCCAGGATCGGCGCGTCCAGGGTCGGTGAGGAGGAGGAGTGGGAGGAGGAGGAGGAGGGGGAGGAGGAGGAGGGGGAGGAGGAGGGGGAGGAGGAGGGGGAGGAGGCGGAGGAGGAGGAGGGAGGAGGAGGAGGAGGAGGAGGAGGAGGAGGCGGAGGAGGAGGAGGAGGAGGAGGAGGAGGAGGAGGAGGAGGCGGAGGAGGCGGAGGAGGAGGAGGAGGCGAGGGCGCAGGGCGCTCTGGGTCCAGGATCGGCGCGTCCAGGGTCGGCGAGGTGGAGAGAGCCCGGCGGTCGCCCGCGGGGGGGCGCGGAGGGGGATCGCGCGCCGCGCGCCGCGGTCTGGGCCTGAGCGGCTCTGCTCCTCTCCCGCGGGGGCGGCGCGAGGGCGCGGAGGCGATGGCGCACCGCGGGGCGCGAGGGCGCGCGGGCGCGAGGGCCTGGATGGCTTGGCATCGCTCGGACGTGTGCATTTTTTTCCTTCGGCGAGGACCATCGAGGAGCATCCTTGATCCTTTGGCGAAAAGGCCACGCACGAAACCGAACAAAAAACACAGGGAATGGACGTCCGAGCGACGGCCTGGATGGGCGAGGTCCCCCGCCGGGCGACGAGGCAGCGGGGGCAGGAGAGCGCACACCACGGGTCCCCGCTGCGGCCACTGCGCCCGGCCGGGCCACTCGGCCCCTCACTGCGGCCCTGTTCCGCACACTCCTCCTCCTTCCCTCCTCCTCCCTCGCTCCTCCTCCCTCCTCCTCCTCCTCCTCCTCCTCCTCCTCCTCCTCCTCCTCCTCCTCCTCCTCCTCCTCCTCCTCCTCCTCCTCCTCCTCCTCCCCTCCTCCTCCTCCTCCTCCTCCTCCCTCCTCCTCCTCCTCTCTCCTCCTCCCCCTCCTCCTCCTCCTCCCCCTCCCTCCTTCCCTCCTCCCTCCTCCTCCTTCCCCTCCTCCTCCACCTCCCTCCCCCCATCCTCCCTCCTCCCCCCTCCCTCCCTCCCTCCCTCCCTCCTCCTCCTCCCCTCCCTCCTCTCCCTCCTCCCTCTCCTCCTCCCTCTTCCCTCCTCTTTCTCCCGACCGTTCCTTCTCACGATATGTTTGCTTCTGCTGTCCGCGCTATGAAGGCTAAAGGGCTGTAGGGCAGTTTGAAACTCTGTGCCACATGCTCGTGCCAGGATTCGCTCCGCGCCGGTGAGGCCGCTCGGATCCAAGGCATCGTGTGTGGCTGAACTCAGATGATCTGGACACTTCTGCGATTGTGTTTCCTCGCTGCTCTTTCTCTCACCTACCCCTTCCTCCTTCCCCGATCCTCATCCTTTATCCGGAAGGCCGCACTCTCTTTTTCCCAACCATCCTGTGGTGTTGGGTCCTCGGTTTGAAGAGACCTCGCCCCGCGTCCTCCTCCTCCTCCTCCTCCTCCTCCTCCTCCTCCTCCTCCTCCTCCTCCTCCTCCTCCTCCTCCTCTCTCCTAGCCATTTTGGCTCAAGACCTGAGCACACCGCGGGAGGTGCAGGTCTCAGCATTGCCATCCAGGGCAGGCCCTGGGTGCTGGGGCCCAAGCTTGTTTGCTCTGCCCCCGTGCCTGCCTGGTCAGCCCCAGGCAGAGGCACAATCACGTCCCGCATCAGTGCTGCCATAGGGCCTGTCGTGTGCGTCCGCCAGCGTGCCGCCATCAGGAGATGCCCGCCCAGCAGCAGAAGAAGTACCTGGTCTGCTCGAAGCGGGGCTGCAAAGGCTGGGCTTGGTGCTCGACGAATTCTCGTCATTGTATGCAGTGTGGCAGCCGTTTCAAGCAGGGCGGGGATCATGGTCCCCCAGCTCGACCCCAAGGTGGTGGAGGTGGCCCCCAGGATGTTCGGCCTGACGTCGAGGAGGAGCCCGCCAAGCCAGGACGCTGGAGGAAAGGCTCCCGCGGTCCTGAGCGCCCACCAGGCTTGGGGCGCGGAGGCGGCCGAGCGGTCACCTTCGAGGATGCAGTTCCCGCTGACGACCCAGTCGCCCTGGCTCAAGCTCAAGTCACCTTCTGGAAGAAGTGGAAGCCAGATGGAGAGGAGCACAAGTCGGCGTTGGGCAAGCTCAAGTTCGCCAAGGCGCAGGCGTTGTCGGCCAAGAGCCTGGAGCAGCAAGCTCAGTCCTTGTCAGATCAGCTCCAGGTGTTGCGCCAGAGATTGCAGTCGCAGAAGCAGGAGGCCAGCGAGCTGGTTACCACAATTGTCGAGGCAAGTGAATATCACGGCAAGCTGGTCGAGGAGATCGAAGCTAATACAAAAGAAGTGCAGACGCTGGAGACGCAGCTCAATGCGGCCACCCAGGCGGCTGCGTATGAGGCATCCAAAGCTGAAGATTTGCTCACCACCATTCAGGGAGTTATATCCGCCAGAATGCCACAGGGAGGACTGGCCCCACCTGAACTTCGAGACAAAGTATCGGAGCTGGCCGCCATGTTCGACACCTTGCAGCAGCAACACGTCGCATCCCAGGCCTCGGGCGCGCCAGCAGGTGGCGGCCCGCCTGCGGCGGCGGCTCCGCGCGGGGTCATCATCGACGGTTTCCCTGCAGTTGGAGAGAGCCCTGATGATGGCCAGGCAAGTCAGACGGCCGCGCCTATCCCAGGCCAGCACGTCCCCACTCCTGCCGACGACAAGGAGCTGGAGACCATGGCAGAGGCGCAGGCCATGGACACGTCTGAAGGCCGCCGCCGTGCGGCTGCTGCGCTGTCCGACGTCGCCCAGGGCATGGCCAAGATCCAGAGTGAGTCAGGCCCCGAGACCAAGAGGGTCAAGGCGGCGGCCGAGGCTGCGGCGCTCGCGGCCGCCCAGGGCCAGAAGTCGCCAGGGTAACACTTATAAGATCGCTACTATCAATGGTTATTGCTGGCCTGCTGTTCGCAAGTTTGTTCTTTCGCCGCAGTCTAGTGCAGTCACGATCATCTGTGCTCAGGAGTGTAAGCTTGCCGACGGAGATAGCATTGTGCGTCAGATACAATGGTGCTCGGCCCAGGGGCGGCTGGCTTACATCACGCCTGCAGCCAAGAGTGAGAATAATGAGTTGGTTTCGGGAGTTGCGATTTTGATTCGGGATGGCTTGGACTTGGGGGTCCAGCCGATCACTTTTTCCGCCGCTTTCGACCCCGCTCGATTATCGGGGGTGCTGCTTGAACTTCCTGGGGCCCCGAAGTTCGCCATATGTAGTACCTATTTTCAGGCTGCTGCTGGTCTCTCCGAGGCCAATTTAAAACTTCTGGCCGCCATAGGCCAACTTCAGGGTGATTTGACCCATCCAGTTTTGGTTGCGGGGGACTTTAACCTGGCCCCTTCTCGGTTGGCCCAAGCTGAGTTTCTGTCCAGGTCCACGATGACCCTGCTTGTGCCGCCGGCCGCCACCTACAGAAACAAGAAGACCAAATCCACTCTAGATTATTTCCTGTCTAGCCAAGGCCTCTCGCCGTGGCTCAGTAACCCCCGTACTCTTTCCTCGTATCCTCTCTCCCCTCACAGACCTGTGCTGCTAGATATTGTAGTTGAGAATAACTTTAATATTCCCACGCTGCATAGGCCCCAGAAGCTACCCACACGTATCCCTGTGGGCCCGCAATTGCCAGAAGTGAGTTGGCACCAGTCAGCTGCTGCATTGGAGTACGCTTCACAATTGATCGATGATGCTCGACGGCCGCTCAGCGATCAACAGCAGTCGGTGCTCCTGGACCACGTGTATTTCAGCTTGGCCCAGGACTTGGAAGCTACAATCAGTAAGAAAACTAACACCCCCCTCAAGCCTAGCAAGTACCCCAGGGCCCACCCCCTCAGGTTCTTATGGTCCCCGCTGAGGCCAAGGCTGCTAGGAGTAGGGCTAAATGGGTGGCCTACACGGGCCCGTTGAGATGGCTCATCAATAGGATTCAAGATTTCCATAGATGTGTTCAGGACTGGAATCTCACTGAGTTTCAGGACGCTCTCGACAGCTTAGAGGATTGCCCTGAGCTGTTCACCGCCGTCGTGTCCCTCAAGGAGGGGCTGCAAGAGATTAGAG